AATTTTTAATTTTGATACTTAAAAAGCTTTATTAAAGTTGTCCTAAATGAAGCCTAAGATATTTGTAAAATTAAGTTTTTATTTGAAACAATTTTCGTAATGCTTTGAAAATTAATATTTAAGTACAATTTTTCTTTTTTGAAAAAAATGCTTTAAAAAATAGTAAAAACTAAAAAAGTTATCTCAAATGAAGCGGAAATCTCGAGCAAAATTTATAAATAAAGGGTTCAAAAATGAATTTAGGGCATTAAATTATATTTTCATGTAATTATGAGTCATAGCTTTGGATAACCTAAATAATTTCATGAAAATATAATTTAATGCCCTAAATAATTTATGATAGCAATTTAGTAAAATTTTAGAGCTTCTATCATGTTCTATTTCTCTCTCTCCCTTCTCTTTATCATTTCATTAGTCTTGCTCTACACTTCCATGTAAAACTCAAGTAACACTCAAAAATAAATTTAAATTCAACACATATTTATCTTTTCTTCATTAATTTGTTTTATATATAAATATAATTCTTGATTAAGTTAAAAATAATTTAATTAAATACTGAAATAATAACTATTTTAACAAATCTAGAATTTTTTTTTATGAAATTATAATTATTATTGCAACGGCTAAAAAATCATTACATTTTTATATTAAAATCAAGTATATCAATAAAAAAAGAGTTGAAAAGAGTAATAATGCCTTTAAAATGAACCTAAAAGACTATCTTTTTATAGCTTTTTAAGACTGATACATATTAATTAGTATAATTTATAGTTCTGAGTCTTCTCCTAAAAGTCATATTAAAGAAGAATTTATAATAAATATGATGAGCATGAAATTCAAGATTAAGAAATTTGATGACTTAAAATGGGTAATTCATAGCTTTGGATAACCAAAATACATTGTATTTTAATTTAATTGAGACTTATGAAAACACTCATGAAACATATTAAGAACACTAAAATTATAAATATTAGATTGCACATTATTAAGGCTTAGTTTGGGACGTCTTTCTTACTACTTTTTAAATCAATTTTTTTGTTAAAAAAATTAAAATTTTAATATTAATAAAAAGATGTTTTAAGAAGCAATAAGATAGCCGTCTCATAAAAAAAATTTATAATAAAATTTTACTTTATTAATCAATAAAAAAAGTTCATGAGGAGAGTAATAGATGGAATTCAAGATTAAAAGGAAGATTTGAATTACCTGATCTTTTCATGTTCAACTCTCTTATAATAAGCTAGGATATAAAAGAACACGAAAAACAATAAAATAAAATATTTTGTTCAACAAACAAAAATAGAGAAAATAATAGTGCCTTTGAATGGTTGAAGAATGGATGCTACAAATGCGATGAGCTTTGGATATAAGCAATAACCCACCACTGCTTAGCCCATGTGGTGGAGAACAGGCTGGGCAAAGTTCAGGTGCCGGATTCGAATCCCTTCGACGATAGTGCTAGTCTTAATCATCGGCTAGAATAAATTGATGTGGGTTGTTCAGATCGACCGATATTTTAACTGACTTTTGGACAGTATTTCCTCGTCCCAAAAAAAATAATAAGCGCAGGCAGGGTCAGCACATGCCAAGTTGCTTATGCTGTCTTCCATTGCTTGCTGGTGATGTCAGTAAGTCTGGCAGTCAAGTACTCGTCCTCTATAGCCACAATCATTTCAAATCCCCTGCAATAAATCAATGAGATTTTGTCTGATCCAAGAAGAATGAAGATGCCATTTGATCTCATTATTTTATGATTTTTTGTTTTATATTCTAAAATCTTTCTTATTAATCCATTTTAGGGCCCCCTCTCCTAAAAAAAATATAAAAAAATTCTCTTATCATATTCTTATTTATGACTATCTCTTATTCCCGCTCCAGACTCCTATTTTCTACTCGTGTTCCCTGACATCTTATACTATTCTATTTACATATTTAATATCTGAAACTTTAATATTACATACATACCACCCATAGTTTATTTTCATATCAAATATGAGTGGTAGAAATGAAATATATGAGCGGTATGAAAGAAATACAAGTGGTATATTTGATATTAAAATAATATAGGATCGTATGCATGTAATATTAAAATTTTAGGTATTATATATATAAATATGATGTAAATTTTTCCTTTTTTTATTATTCCATAGAGATATAAAATGCTTTTCCCACAATTTCCTAACTCACGCATGCAATTTTTTATATATAAAGAAATAATGGAGTTCCCACACTTTCAGTACATCAACTTTTACATTATATATATATTACATGAAAATATCCTTCTTATAAAAGCTTCCTTTCTATATTATATTCTTGATTTTCACTAATGCAGAATCTCTCTGCTCATTCTGTAAAAGTTTTTTTTATTTGAGGAAAATATATTGTTATTTAATTTTAAGTTTTTTTATTATATTATAAGTAATATTTTCTTTTTTAGAATAATAAATGCAATAATTTTTTTAAAAAAATTTCAATATTGGAGCCAACTAGAATGAAAAAAAAAATGTTAGAATTTAAAAGATAAATTTGGGCCCCTTTATAAAAACTTGCTGGCTCGCCATAATTTTCAAGAATTCGAAATTATGTGTAAATTTATAATTGAATTTGTTTTGACAATTCATTTTGTAAAATTTGATTTTTTTTTTTGGTTTGTGTGTATATTTTTTATTTAAATATAATTAATAAAAATTAATTTATATAAAATATGAGAACAAATGAATAGCATCATTTATAGTTTTATATGATCCAATTTTGAATTTGTCTTATCTAACATATAATTGTATTATATCTAATAAAATTTGATTAACCATAGAGTTCCTTCTACAATTTTGGACTTGAGAGTTTATTTGATCAATTACATTGCGCTTTTTATTAGGTCCGGACACCTGACGTAGCTCTACATCCGGACGCCAATAAAATGTCGCAACGTGCTCTTACTCTTTACAGCGCAGCCTGACGACCCGACCTGGACAAAAACCCGATATTGTTATGTATTAGTTGATTTGTACAGACTAGGGTATTGCTAGATTTTGCTCGATATTAATTGTTAATAAAAAATATCATTATGTCAAGACCAATACCTAGCAATACCGAGCAATACCTAGCAATACCCCGGCTTTGCTAGGTATTGCTCGGTATTGCTCGATATTGGTCTTGACAAAACGGTATTTCTCATTATTGCCAAGCAATACCAAGCAATACCTAGCAATACACGAACATAGCAATACCGAGTTTCCGTTCCGGGTAGGGTCGTCGGGCCACGCAGTAAAGAGCAAGAGCACGTGGCGATATTTTATTGACGTCTAGATATAGAACTATGTCAGGTGTCCGGACCTTATAAAAATTCATTACATGACCCTCTCTTGATTAAGACACAAAAGGCCCATATTTATTTCATCAGAGCAAAATTACATTAAACTTTAATAGATTTACTTCAATATGCCACATTATAATGAAAATTGAATTCATACAACATGTAAATGGCACCGTCGTGAATTTATATTCAAAAGCAATTAAAAATTATTATATTTTTATATACCATTAACATCTACAACTGTTTACTTCTAACACAAAAAACAAACAGGTTAACTTCATGATTTAATGCCTAAATCCTCCTCCCAATAAAAATTCTATCATATTTAGTACAAAAAATTTTTATACTTTAAAATTGAATTAAAATTTTATTTTAAATAACAATAAAAATACTACCCCAAATAAAACCTTAAATTTCATTTAAAATAACTTTTTTTCTGCTTTTTAAAACAAATTTTTACTATAAACTTCTAATTAAAAAAAATTATACTAAAAAATTATCTCAAACAAAATCTTAGTCAACTATAATTTACTTTAGTTCTCTATTACATAAAAATGTAAGAGAATTATATTAAGGTTTCGTTTGAGACGGCTTTCTTACAGCTTAAAGCAACTTTCTAGTACAAAGATTAATATTTTTAAATTAGAAAGCCGCTTCAAGAAGCAAGAAGAAAGCTGTCCCAAACGAAGCCTAAATATGTGAAAAGCCAAAACACTCTTATATATATTTTTAGAAAGGATTTCCTATAATTTCATAAAAGAGAAGAACATCAATTTCCTTTCTAATTCTTTGAGCGAATTTATTAGTTTAAATTACATAGCCAGACAGCTGAGAATGGGCATTATATGTCGCTTTTAGCTCAACCTGGAACATCCTGAGAAACAACCTGGAGCATCAATTCCTCTATTTTTCCAGAGCACAAAAACCATTATAGTTCCTCTAAGGATTCCAAATTTTTAAATAAAGAAACCACCTGCCTAACCTAAAACCAACTTGGTAGTTTGACCTGGACTGCCTATTTATTCCCTCTTAAATTATTATTTGAATACATACAAGCATATATGCATAACACTGCCGTTGTCATGTCCTAAGTCCTGAATGAGAAAAGTGGGGAGTTGCGTTAGGTAGTCGACAGTGAGCATAAAACTTGCCGAATAATTATGACATGAATTCTTTAATGACGAAAAAGGATTCATGTAGCCGACCTCACGTAGCGGGACAAAGGCTTGATTGATGATGTTGTTGTTGTACAAGCATATATGCATAGTATATATTAATATGAAAGATGCATATGGAGTTGACTGACAGCCATAGATTATTGTGGGAACCTGAATTTGATATCAGGAAAGATCTCTCTTTTTGTTTTATTAATCAATTATTTGAGAGTGACCAGAAAGCTTGGCCAGGCCTCCAACACAGACTAAAAGAAGCCAATGAGATAGAGCTGAGAACAGTTACTTTATCAGTAAAGGAGTGGTGAGTTTCAACCTTCACCATGGAAACAGAGAAAAAGTTTGGCTGGGCAAATCAAAACCACAAGGAATAAGTAGAGCAAGTAAATAGCTGTAGATAGAATCCTATTCATATAGGCTTCGTTTGAGACGGCTTTCTTTCTGCTTCTTAAAGCAGCTTTATAGAAAGCTATCATAAGCATGAGATATGTAATGCAGTCATTGACAGAATTGAATTGTTTTGTGCAACAAAATAGAATAATTTCATAAAAAACTGATATAAATAATTATATTCAACAAAGTTGGAGTTGAGACTATCGCTAATGATGTAGTAGATACATAGATCAATCTAAAGAAGAACATTCTGACCTGAAATATTTGAGATTTTAATGGGATTTGTTATGTGACAAACTGGTAGGTAGGCTTGTTTCAACCTCGTTTTATGGGCCTCTGCACGTATGATTTGTTTGGATCTTCTGTTTTGAGCTTTGGAGGTCGAAGCTCTCCTTTCTTTACCTGGAGTACCAGCAGAAACTTAAAGGTGAGAAATGGAGGCATCAATAAGATTAAAATGCACATCAGGTTTTTACTTCACCTTCTTTCCTCCTTTCATGAAATCTCTCCAACTAGATACCTGAGTAACAAAATGCGGAGGATTAGGAACTTCCAAGTTCATTTGTAATCTGAATATGAGGTGATAGATTCCTATATGTACTTAAATTAATGTAGAATCCCAAATCATGAAGTATCCAGTCATACATACATGTGATTTCACAGCTATTCTAAAATGTGTCGTTGACCAAATGAAAATCATTTTGAGTTTTCACGCAAACCTATAGATACTCAATCTGCAGTTTTCCAATTATAGCCATAAATTAAATTAACTAATATATTTACATTATTTTTAAGCACAAAGTTCTTGAGCAATGTGAAATTCAATGCAAACATAAAGACATACAACATCAAGCCCTTGTCCCATTACGTGGGGTCGGCTACATGAATTCATTTTCGCCGTTGTGTCCTGTGAAAAGTAAAATTCTCATTTCTAATATTTTCTAACTAAGTCTTTTTAGGTATACCTCTACCTTTCTTAACATAAGTCAAATCTAATACCTCAACTGTTCTAACCGGGTCATTGGAAGGCCTTCATTTAATGTGACAAAACCATCTAAGGCGACTCTCCCTAATCTTATCTACCACAATGCAAACATAAAGACATGTAGATGCAATTTCAAAAATACAAATACTAAGAAAGTAATCAAGTTTAATGATACTTTCAAGCTTTGATAACGAATAAATTTCAAGCATTTAAGATAACAATGTTACTTGCAGGCTCAGGATGACAATGGCCATTAAATAGTTAGGTAGCTTAAAAATTTTTGTATTTCAACTTAGGTTTCGGCTTTCAGGAGATTATGCATCAAGGGCACTTTTTCGTGTACTTATCAAAGGGATGCCACATGGATCCCGTGGGTTTAACTATAACTACATGAACCATTAAGCTGATGGGGACATCAGATTTCGACGTGTACCATTGCCGGAGACGCAGATCGACGGCTATGATCCAGAGTCTTTATTTCTGATTTATTTGCATCTTATGTTATGAGTGTATTTTCCTTTGTTTTCCTAGTTTGCCCCTGAGGGCATTGTTCCACTTATGTAGCCCTGAGGGCGTTTATGTCATTTAGTTATGTTTATTTTGGCCTCCTTATATGAGGCATCATGCATTGTAATAGCTTTAGTTTTGATGAATGAAAAGTTGACATTTCATGTTCTCTTCGTGAGTGCAAATCTCCTCGATCTCTTAGTGAGTTCGTAGGACCCTCTCTTTGTCTCCCCTACTCAATCCCATCATGCATGGCGAACCCCGAATTTGAGTGGGGGCTTGTGTTCGACGCCCACGGTAATCTCAACATCCTACAATCGTCATTCTTCGACGCGGGATTTGACCCCGACGACGACACCGTTGGAGCTTACTTGGATCGGATCCTCCCGACCCTCGTGCAAGTCATCGACAGACAAAGTCCAGACTACGAGTGGACCATCGACGGCCGACCTTCCACACCACCTCCACATCCTACGCCTTCCTCTCCATCACTACGGATTGCCGGCATCGTCTACCTCGAAGTAGTCTCATCCCTTGTGTGGTTCTTCTTCCTCCGACAACCCTAGACATAGAAGAGTGAGCTTAAGCCTCAAGGTGAGACGATCGCTTTGTTAACCGCCGGATTCTAGTTGGCTTTTCATTGTCATTACTTTTAATTAACGTCGTTATTTTATCGATCTTGCTAATTTAGTTGTAACAACTTGCCTAGACTTGGTTGAAATCTAAGATCTTTTTTGAAGTATCAATTGTGAGAAGCATCAAGCTTGTACTATCATTATTTTAACGAACTTTTATTAATTTTCTAAGACTCAATTCCTGGTTTCACATCATAAGCAGCTTCACCACTGAAAAAAATGAAGCTTTAGCAGCAGTCACCTAGCAGCATATGTGAGTTTGTAGCAGTTTAAATCGCACATATATTTGCAGCAATAAAATAGAGCTATTAGTCATTTAAACCAGTGGTAAAGGATTAATAGTTGTTTAAACTGCTGTGAAATACTAAATTTAGAAAGGAATTTAAGTACCACTAAAAAATATACATTAACAAAATCCTTTCGTCCATGCCTAAACCTACAAATCTGCCACTCACAACATAAAATCATTGTTATTATAACCCCGCATGGACAACGGGTAACTCCCACTTAGACCATGCACCATTCAAAAAATCCAAGAGGAGTTGTGACCACCAACATAGAGGCTTCAGACCTAGCATTCCCACAGCCACAACGGGCCCGAAAGTGCTGGCTCCATCAAAAACCATCATGCTATTGATACTTATGTTGGAAACAGTAAAGCATAATAGGCAAAGCCATCATTCTGGCTGGCACCAGATAATGAATATACATCACAAGTCAAACCAATGTAAACATGTGTTGAGGCTAAGGTTTTCACGAACAAGGCAATTGCTTTTGTCAGAGATTCCCAACATGGATGGAGAGAAAGTTTAATGTGGCGCCTATTATGATCATGGAGCATATGTTGCTCTTGTTGATGATGAATCACTTTGTGAATTGGGATAATTGAGCGCCCAAAATTGTTTTCAGTGTCCTTGTGCATATAATTTATACTTGTATAGATCAAGTTCAGGAAATTGTGACAAAGATGGAGACGAAATTGGATTCCGTAGGGAATATGTTAGACAAAGTTGACAGTTCTTATTTGTTTTCGGTGTTATGCTAGTTTTATTAGTTGCGCTGCTACCATTCTGAAGATTTAAAATTTAGTAAGAGATTAGATCAATAGGTCAAATTCGGGGAGGAATTGACTATTCTTGGGGAATGCGATGGATGACCATTACCATTTAGGACAGACTCACCCACAACTTTAATTGTCCCATTTGGTCTTATAAAATAGTTCCAGTTATTTCATTTTGCCTTATCATAGTCGTCAATATGATGTTTATGTTCTCCTTCTCGTTAGCTTAAAGATAATAATTGAGGTTGTAAATTCTAAACTTGTTATAAGTGTGTGCTGAAAACGATGTAACCGCATTTATGTTAAATATATATTTGAGCTCTTAAACTAGTTAATCTTTAGATGATTCATTAATTCAAAGCAATCCTCAATCAATACCTTTTACACTCATTTTCATATTCTCATGATGTCAAGAATCCATCGAATTATTCCGCATTATTTGTTAATACAAAAAAAAATCATTTATTTTTTGTCTTTACATTGTACATTTGGTCTAATCCACCCGAGCTAAATCTTTAGTACACTTGATGTGCTCCTATGACCATAGTTTCCGAAAACAAAGTCATGCTTTAATCACCCCCAAGTATGTACAAACAGTTGAGGCCTCTTATCAATACTTAAAAACTCCTTTTGTTTTTCCATTCCTAATTAGGAGGACCTTGCCAGCCTCTCAAGCCAAAGCTTAATTTCTTTGAATATAAAAATCCAACGCATACGATTATAGCAATCCTAAATACTCTGATTTTGATCCTTAATAGGGTACATATGTAACAAGTCTATTGTGTAACACAAATACACAATGATAATAAAATATAATAAGATTCACTCTGCTAGTAGCTTGCTCTCGAACTTGCAATCATTGCCACAGATTATGCTCAAGACTAATGTTGTTTAACACTATCCTAAATGAAACACCAATAAAAATAACTTTTCACCCAATGCTTCTCTTCTTGATGAATGATTTCGGTTCAGTTAAAAACTTTTGAATTTTTTAAGATTTTAACTTTATTGAATTACTTAATCTTCCTTGTTCAATATAATAACTTAACAAATCAAGATGCTCTTGTTCAACAAGAATGAGAATCTAACTAGCTATAATGCACTGATACTTTTCCTCAAAGAGGTATATGATTAAAATATATATTAAGAAAAACATATCAAATATAGATTAAAAAATCCTATTTGAATGATTTATTATCAATTTTTACACATCACACATATAGAACACGTCAAACATGTGCCCGATTAAAAAAATATATTGGACACGCAAGTCGAACACGTCTTAAATATTTAATTAAATTTTTTCAAATATAATTTCTTATAGATCAAATTTTAGAAAGGAGCAACTTTAAAATGTCATTAAGTAAAAGAAGCATAATTAGTAAATAAATTTAAAAAGAGTAAATTTGCAAAATTATTTGGCATAGTCCCAAATACACCAAATGATTTAGCAAATTCTGAATATGCCAAATCATTTGGCGTATTCATCTAAAACAGGAGAAAGAAATGGGTAGGAGAGAGATGAGGAGAGAGAAAGAGAAAAATGAGGGAGAGAATGTGGAGTGAGACGGATGGGGAGAGAGAAAGAGAGATGGGAAAGAGAGAATTTAATATTTTTTTAAATTAAAAAAAAATTTAGCTAATATTTATATAACATAAAATAAAATAATCTTTAAAAATATTATATAAAAAAGTAAAAAAATAAAAAATTATATTTAAAAAGTAATATTAAATTATACTTTTTAAATATAATTTATAATATTTTTAACTTTTTAATATAATATTTTTAAAAGATTATTTTATTTTATATCATGTAAATATTAATTATAAATATTAGTTAATTTTTTTTTAATATAAACAAAATATTTAAATCTCTCTTTCCCATCTCTCTTTCCCTCTCTCCATCCGTCTCTCACTCCACACTCTCTCCCTCATTTATCTATTTCTCTCCCCATTTATCTTCTCTCCCAATCTCTCTCCTCATCTCCCTCTCCTACCCATTTCTCTCTTCTGCTTTAGATGAATACGCCAAATGATTTGGCATATTCAGAATTTGCCAAATCATTTGACGCATTTAGGACTACGCCAAATAATTTGACGAATTTGCTCTTTTTAAATTTTTTTACTAATTATGCTCCTTTTATTTAATGACATTTTAAACTTGCTCCTTTCTAAAATTTGCCATTTCTTATATTTCAAATATTTAATTATAAAAAATTTTAAAAAACTAAATTTCGTATTTTCTCTCCACAGCTCCAAATCAATTATTCGCAATCAATACAATTTTATTTCTCTCTGGTTGGTCACGACTAGGGATTCACAACAATGTCTAA